AGCCCATCTGAATTAGGACATTTAGGCTATCCATCTAATAGTAGCCTACCAAAATCTTATTAACAGTAGAAGTTAAATCTTACTGTAGTCTTCAAATCTGGGTACTGTATTACGTTTTAAAATCACGAAGGGAGTTTGGTCGCATCAGGCTAACGTGACAGTCACGACTCATGAAGCGGTAAGGTTTTACTCACGATCTTTACAACACGCATTACATTACGTATTTCATGGCACACTCGTTTTATGCGTATTTAGCGCCACCTATTGTTGTGGGTGTATTATTGATATGTCAACGTCTAGACCCTGAATATAAGACGACTGCGTTTTTTCAGATGTATTTCCAAGAAAAAAACATCGTCTTATATTCGGGTCAATACGGTAATAAGTCATTTTTGCTTGTCGTCAATAAATGGATAAATACTCGTCAATGAAATGCTGTTACTTGAAGACATGCGTTAAATCTTAGGGATGTAACGATTACCGGTTTGACGATAAATCATGATAAAATTCCCCACGGTTAGTATTACCGTTTCATCTTTTAATTATCATTAAAACTGTATTCGATTACCGCGATTTGAAAAACTCACGATAAATAAATACTGTGCAGCATAAAGCAGAGTTTTAAGTAACAGTCTCACGTGCGCACAGCACGCAGAGTAGTTTCGTTTTGAGTGAAAACAGAGCGGAAACGCTGGGAGGTTTTAAAAGAGTGCTAAGGGAATTATACAAATTAATATATGAATTAATTAATTATATGAATGTACCTCTGAAGGTTCTGACTGTCTTCAGAAAGGATTCGATGGCATTTTGTTTTCATCTTCGCTCCATGTAATACCTAAAGAAGTGTTCTTAATCGCAGTGCTGCTTTGTCCACGGAGGTTACGAGAAACAGCTCTAATTCTGCTTTTCCATAAGCGCCACCTGCTGTCAGCGAGTGGATTTACAGAGACTTATATTTACATTCAGCCTGTGTGCCGTTTCCATCTGGCCAAAAACGGACCGAATTTGCATGCCCTGCTGTAAATTATGACCGGTTGATGAAAAACAAGCTTATGTAGATTCTACACATTTAAACAATTCAAATAAGCTATCTAGAATTATTTATGGAGCAGATAAAATACATAATCATATATTAATCAATTATCATTTTGACTTTTCTTTATTTAATTGAAATGTGAGGTTTACCTTTTTGTGAAACTTTTTCAAAGCTTTATTTGAACATTTACATTAGATATTTCAACATGCTATTAAACTGTTGTCAGTCAAGTTGTCATTTAAAAGCCAAACATCATTGGTAATGTTATTGTTTTAGTGATTATGCAAACAATAAGTCATTTTATTTGTTGATTTTTAGATATAAAACTTGAAGTGATTTATGTGTCGGTACTTTTTGAACATCTCCAGCACATTTTAACAATACCGTGATAATATTGATAACCGTGATCATTTTGGTCACTATAATCGTGATAAGAAATTTTCATACCGTTACATCCCTATGTGTGATGGCCTCGTTGATTTTGCAGTATATTCTCTCTTTATTTATAATCTGAAATGTGCGATTTATCACAAATCTCTCACCATCTGGCTGAAAAACCAGGAATCGCCATCTGACGTTAATCTCGTTGGATTAGGGCTGGATGTGAAGGGGATCAAAGGGCAGATTTACGGGATGAGGGTCCCCCCCCATCCATCCTTTCTTAACTGAAACAGCCAGAAAACCCAGGATAAGTCAAGTGCTATTGCATTGTGCACTATTGTTTTGTTCTTTGAGAGAGAGAGAGAGCTTACTGTAGTGACGACACTGGGTTGTGTTTGTGCCGAGCCGGAGCGGGATTTAAAGAGCAGAGTTGTACATGATAGTTAGTGCTTTTTGAGGGTTTGTTGTTTAGAAGAATGGGATTTAATAGAAAGTATGTTCAAGATGACTGGAGGAACGCCAAGTGAAAATGATTGCTGGAGAAATGCTGAAGATTTGGATTAAGTGACTCATTGTCCTTTGATGAACTTTCAAGACTGGGAAATAAATATAAATAAACTTTAACAAAATGTTAAATGAATAGAAAATATTATAATAAACTTCAGTTGTCAGGTATAATATTTTATATTATTAATTATATTTTTATATTTTTTCTTTAAAATTTGTGTTAGTTTTTTAGTGATTTTGTGCTTTTGTCCTTTTCATGACTATTTATGTTATTTTGTATCCCTATTCATATTTTTAATTTATTATAAATGTTTTAAATAAATATTATTTAAAAAAATATATAAGTGTATGTTTACATTTTTGTTTTCTGTTTATTTTTCTGTTTAGTTTTAATGATTTTGTTGTGTTTCTTGTCATTTTTATTTTCTCTGCATGTTATTTTAGCATCAAGATACTATTATAATTTTATTATTATTTTTTATAAAATATATTTTTATACATTTTATAAAACAATATGATAAATATTGTAGTTTATTTTTGTATTTTCTGATTTCATAAAAAAAAAATTTTTTTGTGATTTTATGTGTTTTTGTCATTTGTCATATTTCATTAATTTTATTTCAGTTTTAGTTATTTTAGTACATCAAGAGATAAGCAGGGTCCTGATCATCCTATCAGTGTTTACTATCGGACTATACTTTATTCCTCGTGTGTGTACTCTCAATAATGATGCATTTTTAACCATTTAAACATTCTCCCTAATTAAAAAAGGCAGTTCAAATGTGTTTCTGCCCTTTGCAGGTGAAGCTCTCCAGCTTGAATCTGGATGATCACGCCAGAAAGAAGATGATCAAACTCTGTGAAGAGCGATACTGCAAAGACACCGACACGCTCACCATCACCACAGACAGGTGCGTGATATGGATACATATTCTTCTGTGTTGTTTTATTCCTCATTTCTCTTACATTAAAATGATCTTTGTGTGTGTGTGTGTGTGATTGTAGTTGCCCGCTGAGACAGCAGAATTACGATTACGCCATGTACCTCCTCACCGTGCTTTACCACGAGTCCTGGGTGAGTCTGCAACCCTCCACATTACTTCAGAAACACTGACATTTGTATGCGATTTCAACTTTTTCCAGCAAGCTGAAATGATGCATTTTTGTGCTTTATTAGCTGTCATGTACAACTCTGTATAGGTTCAATGTTTAAGATCATATCTACTAGGGCTGTAAAAAAAAATACAAAATTGCGAATTTCGAATATTCGTCGAATTTAAAATAAAAATCCACATTCGAATTCAAAAATGTTGCATTCGAATTTTAGGTGTGCGTCAGGCAGTATTATCAGTGAATGAACCTGTGAATGTCTGTGGGTGAGCACGTCTTCGCCATTCAAAATAAAAAAAGCGCACTTTTTCATTTTATAATGGCATCTTATTGCTCTTCTTCCTAGTAGGTGCATTTTTAAAAATCTTTTCCCGAAGAATCCTGGACTCCTGCTCAAAATGATAAATTAATATAAGGACAGCTACAAAAAAAAAAAAAAAGCTGTTGTCGTTCCATCCTGACGGATGACGTGTGACAGCTCAGTGGAATCCCGGAAAATAAACCGTGGAATTTTGAACAATGAGAGAACAGTTTACTCGTGCGTGACTTGTATTAACAAATTTGGTCCGTTTAGAAACATTACCGTGTGAAAGCGAACCGCACCAAGAACAAAAAGCAACATTGTAATAATTTTAATCCCTGTTTCGGAACAAAGCAATCGATCTACAGGTGTGAAAGCACCTTAGGTGTGCGTCAGGCTGCCTTATCAGTGGCGCACGAGATGCGATGACGATGCTTTTCTTAGCCTATCCAGTTGAACCCACTGGATTGCGGAGAATGTTGTTTACGTCAAAACCGGTTCACACAGAACGCATATTTATCACATTTTCTAGAGGGACATCTATCATCATTGCACTCGCATCTCGCACAAGAGAGCCACATGTTTAGAAAGCCATGTAAAATGAACGGAAGTTTAACTTGTTTAACTAAAAAAAAAAGCCTCGAGACTTTATGGCGGTTTTTCCCCATCCCACTGCGTCTCATGTTTTCAAATGAAGAAAGGACTCTTTGTGATTAGTTTTCGGGCCTTTGTATTAAACTGTACATACATGCATGATGCTGTTTTGTTTCTAATTGTTTAAGCAACTTAATTATATATGGTTTATAAACATCAATTTAAACATTATGCACTTTTTTCAAAGATAGTCGTGTTATTTTATTGCTTTGAAGAAACGTGCATTAGTAATATTTAGCTTGATACGCCCTCTTGTGGCCTCGAGAGAAGCCAAAAGCTTTTTTCCCCCTAACTGAAATTATGCCTTTTAAATTCGAATAGTGATCATATTTAAGTACAAAATTCGAATTTAGATTTTCAGCCATTTTGACAGCCCTAATATCTACACAGTAGGGCAGGATTTACATGCTACAGGGTGGATTTCATGAAAACTGTCAAGAAATATGCAGGTAAAAATTTGCATGAAATAAAACATTTTGCATGAAGAAAATTAACCCTGTAGATGTTAAAATAGTCTTCAGATGTCAACAATAATTGAGATGCATAATATCTATATCAGTATCAATATCAGTCACCATTTGATTAATTTTTTTGTTAAGTATTATACAGTAATACATGTTTGTGTATATAGATATAGATAGATATACACATACACATATGATGTATTTATACAAAACTAAATTGAATAATAATAAAAATAAATTTTACAATTATATACTTTTTTTATATATAATATATTTCTTAAGGGTGGCAAAGCGGTATAATATTAGCAATAATATCATATGTTTCAAGTGTCAATTCACTTTTGTTCAAACTCACTAATGGCATAATGACAAAAATTAATATATGAATGAACAAAAATTAATTAAATTATGACAAAATTCTAATTTTTAAGTGAACCATTCCTTTAAGCATGAGCAATAATAATAGTGATGCTTGCCTTCGCACTAATCATTATTGATCATTGTGATTTCTGTATCAGTACATCGACTGGATTGTGATCAGCTTCTGATGGAGGTTGATGTGTTCTCCGTGCTCGTGTGTTTGAATCACACATGAATATTTCATATCTCTATTGTACCTGAACTCTTATGAAAGTTTCAGTGGGGTCCCACTGGCAGCGGTGTGGATTTCCATGACAGAGACCCCCTTTAAACAATAGGATGAGGGGGCAAGAATAAAGGTTGGGAATCCACAACAGTGAACGGTGTACTTTGGGTTTTTACATCCCCTTCCCTAAGTTTGAAATTAGTTTGGAATTAAACCTGGAATGTATTTATTTATTTTTAGGCCTGAAAAGTGGAAATGGAAATAATCATTTTTATATATTTTTTTTCTCTGACCAAAATTATTATATTTTATTTTAATATTTTGGCCAAAATATATTCCAAATATATGCTAAATATATGTTGTAAACCGTGCAGCTTAAGGCAATTCATTTTTCATATTGAAAATATATTTCAAAGCCTTCAATATGCTAAAATGTACTACAAAATGTGCAAGAAAATACATTTTTAATCTTAAAATACATTTTTGGTAAATGCAAAATGCATTTTTTTAAAATATATTTTGAACAATATAAATATATTTCGTTTGAAAATAAAGTAAGAAAAAAAACAGCAACTAAAATGTATGTTTGTAAATATATTTTACAATATATTAGCAATTATATGTAAAAATATATATGATTTTTTTTTATGAGGGGGCTTGTTTTTGAATGTTAAATTGATGTGAAAACAACTACAAAAAAGGTCATTTGTTTTCAATTCTTAGTTTAGTTTTAATTCTTACCTTGAGCTTGATCCACAATGTTTAGTGGTGAAACCAAAGCAATCCATCAAACCTGCAGCAAACCATCACTCAATTAGTGTCATGATTTTCCACCTGATTAGATGATTGACAGCTGTCTCGCCCAATGAGCAACCCGAGAGTGGAAACAGCAGCTGAATGGAAGCATCTGATTGGCTGACAGGGAGATTCCATTGGAAAAAGCAGTTGGCAGTGCCTCAGAAGATTCTCAGTACAGCACGTTGAAACGCTTCGTCAATAATTCACGTCATATCTGCGTGGAAGAACCGTCTCCGCTTACACCGAGTTCACGATCAAAGTTGAGAGCGGCTATTTAATTGACAACAGATGTAATGTGACAGTTTTCTTTGTGAGTTAAGTGAGACTCGAAAAAGCGATTAGTAACCTTTGAGTGTCGCATGATTCACCTCATTAGCACAACAGAGGATGAATTAGCAGGCGCTTTTTGATAAAACACAGATTAAGGACAAGAGCGGTGTAATTTATACACTTGAACTTCTCAAAGTCGGCAAACTGAAGGCTTCCTACGCAGATGATCTTCTTAAAGCATCTTTGAGGAGTAAAGAACGTGACCTTTTAGATTCAGACAAGGTCGACCACCGGGAAAAAAAAAAAAACGGATCGGGTGTCAATAAAAATGCAACAAATGCTCAAGATGTGTGCATTTTCCCATCATGCTCTTGTCGCTGGAGACTGGCTGGCTTTGGTATTGTGTAACTATGTTCTGAGCTTCACTAAGAAGCCTGGCTGAGAACCACGCTCGAGCTTTGTTTGCCATCCTGGTTGGGAAGTGTAACGGTGTCCGCTGGCCTTTCGCTTGCACAATGGCTCGGAGCGCTCAGGACGGGGTAGAGTGACGTCGGGTGGGAACGGGAGGGGGGCGGTTCGCCACAAAGCAGCCGATTGTTCCAGACCACGAGGGTGATTGTATCTCCAAGACCTGATTTAGCTGCCAATATGGCTACAGGATAATCCATTCAAACTGTGTTCACATTGACTGGAAGAGGTTTTGGAACAAATGTGGCCTGGGTGTGTTTCCAGAGGTTAAATATCACCCCTTTTTTCCATTTCATTTGGTTTTTAATGCGTCGTGAAGTCATCACAACACGTGATTACAATGCGGTGTACTTCTGAAATGTTGGGTGGCCTGGCCAAACAGCAACAAAAATAAATAATACAGCTCGACTTCATGGAAATATGTTAGGATATTTGTGGGATACATTTTCCTAATTTAACATATATTTAGTTTAAATCAAATGCTAAAATATATTACAAAAAATGTCCAAAAAAAATAATAAAAACGTGAAAATATCATTTAGAATTTAATTTAAATATAAGTAACTAAAACTTATCAAAATATAGTTATGCGTATCTATATTAGCTATATATTTAAATAGCAATATAGGAAATTGATTTTTTTAAATGTATAATATTTAATTTAAACCCCCGTTTCTGATCTTTAAATACATTTTAGGTAAAAAAAAAAAAAAGCATAAATATGGGAACTATAACTACGATCAAAATATATTTATGTAAATGTGTTTTTATATGTTGTAAAGATACAGCTTAAGGAAATAGTTTTTCAAATGTAAAATTTTATTTAAACCTTCAAATGCTAAAATATATTACAAAATGTCCAAAAAACAAGTTTCCAATCTTAAAATACATTTTGGGTAAATATAATAAATATAGGAAATATAGTAAACTAAAGCATATCAAAATACTTTAAAAACTATATTAGCTTCTTTTTTTTTTTTTTTTGCTGGCCAAAAATAAGTTTCAAATGTATGCTAAATAAACAATGCAACTTAAGGATATGTATTTTTCAGGGTTTTTTTTGTTTTTTTTTTAAACCTTCAAATATATTACAAAATGTCAACAAAAAAAAAGTTTCCAATCTTAAAATACATTTTGGGTAAATGTTGGAAATATAAGTAACTAAAACTTCAAAACATATTTATGTATTTACATGTATTTATATGAAATATTAAATGTGGAAAAAATACATTTCTGATAATAAAATATATTTTGGCTAAATACAAAAAGTATTTTTTAAATATATTTTGAATATTATAACTACATTTAGATATAGATATATCGTTTTTTTAATATTATAATGCTAACATTAGCATTATATGAAATGTATTTAAAATATACATTAGCATTATATTTTTTGTATATTTTGAAATGCATTTAAAAATATATCTGTAAACACATATAATATTTTTTATTAAACTTTTTCCATTATATGGGGAAACGTCACGTTTTTCAATTGAAAGATTAAAGGGTTAGTTCACCCAAAAATGAAAATTCTGTCATTAATTACTCACCCTCGTGTTGTCCGAAACCTGTAAGACCTTTGTTCATCTTCAGAACACAATTTAAGATATTTTTGATGAAATCTGAGATATGAAAACAAAAATAACGACTTTATTCATCACGCCGGATCTGGGTCAGCGCCGCCACACGCTGTCGTGAACACACATCCACAAGTGATGCAGTAGAGACAAAAATGTGGAATAAAGTCATTCTTTTTGATTTCTTTGCGCAAAAAAGTATTGTCGTAGCTTCGTAACTTTACAGTTGAACCACTGATGTCACACGGTCTACTTTGTCGATCATCTTGGTACTTTTCTGGACTTTTCTTGATCGTGGTAGTTACCTTGCTGTCTATGGGAGGGTCAGAGAGCCCTCAGATTTCATCAAAAATAACTTTGTTTGTGTTCCGAAGATGAACGAAGGCCTTACGGGTTTCGAACAACACGAGAGTGAGTAATTAATGACAGAATTTTCGTTTTTGGGTGAACTAACCCTTTAAAGTCATTTCCAAAAATGGGGTCTATATTGATTTCACATTGACTTTAACGCTTGGTTTTGGTGTTTCTTGAACAGAAGAGCTCTCCAAGAACCCATATTTTTCTTTCCCCGAGCGGTTAACCGATCAGCTCGGCTCGCACAGCGGTGGCCTTTCGAAAGCAAACCACGAGCGTCTTCATGTCTTCAGTCAGGTCCTCAATTACACTCCTGCTCTCTCCAGTGAAAGGCCAATCTCATCAATTAGTCGCAAACCATTTGATTTGCCTCTTCGGCTAAATTGAATCATTTGGGTCAACAGTCCTAATCAAATCCTCACGATCTGGCCAAACCACCTTCATCTCCATAGAAACCACCTAATCCATCAGTCGCTCCCTAAGTAGTGCCCTGCGGCCGGGTGATTTGAGGAGAGGAATGGAGGACGTTTGGAAAGGGAGAAGGACGAGGGATTGGTTTGTGTGTGCATGACCTGTATTGATAGTCATTAGTCTGGAGCACCTGCACCAGAGGCCTTCACACACACAAAGACGCTTTTGTCACTGAGGATGGGAAGTATTGGGAAAATTTAGTCTCAGGCCAAGGAGGGACTCCAAGGGTTCTTATCAAACTCAAGCTGTCTTTAAAAGTTTGCAGCACTTGTTCAAACGCTTAAGCAAATGTTGAGCGGCGTCTCTTCATGTTTTCAGTGAAATCAGAGCCGCTCGTCGTGTTTATTACAGCAGTTCCTTTCCAAATCAGCTTGGCATTTTTATCGTGCCAGAATTCCTCAGCCGACCCAAGACGGTCGAAAAGTATAGTTTGTTTTCAATGCTTAAACAATCTTAGTCCAAGTTGGGTTTAAATGTGCTTTTTGACATTTTATCATCAAATCACTTCTTTTACCAGAAGATAATATTGTAAGGCTTGGATCGTTTAGTGTCACATGCTCTCAGGCACTCGATTCATTGCTTTTATGATGAATCTCAGCCTTCAGTGAAGTTCTAACAGTGACATTTTTGGTCAAAGTCCTGCAGTTGATGCTCCTATGAGGAGAGTTTGACATACTATATGACATACAAAATCTGGCCAAAATATTTTTAAAATAATGATTAAAAAAAAAAAAGAATAAAAAAACTATCAAAATAAAGTACATTTATTTTAAAATCTATATTAGCTATATATTTTTGGCATTTTTAAATATATGTTGTAAACAATGCAGCGTAGGGAAATATATATTGTTTAAACCATCCAATGCTAAAATATATTTCAAGAAGTGCAAGAAAATACATTTCTAATCTTAAAATACAATTTTGGGGAAGTGCAAAATGTAAAAATATAAATATATTTAGATTGAAAATGTGATAATGAAACATTTCATAAAATATATATATATATGGCCATTTTTTGTATATGTACACTTTTGGGGTGATGTATTTTT